GGAAAAGATGTTAAACAAGTAAGAAACTGTTTGTTTTGTATTTCACAAGGAGTATTTTCTGTCTGTCATCTTAAAATATCCTGAAAACATGTTCTGTCTTGCTCCTTTTGTTGTGGTCTGGATAAAGGAGGAACCACATACCTGAGCAGCAGCCACAAAGTTCAGGATGAGTTAGTTTTATTTCAATGGGTTCTGTTCCAGTTTTCCTTTTGAATAGAGAAGCCGAGAACTAGTTTTTGTGATGTAGTCGGCTCCCATAAGATGACATGGTTTGGAAATTTACTATCACTAGCAGTTAGTGATATAGGTGGATTGGATAGTTTATTTTGTTAGGGGCCCTCTCCACAAAAGGGGGATGCCAATCTATTTCGGTTCAAGCAAGAAACAATCTAGTGCCCTATCCCAGTCTATATCTTATCCTCCCTGTCCTGTATTTTTCTTCCCCAGTCAAGTCTACACCCTCTCCTCCTATGTCCCTACACCCCCAGCATTGAACACCTTTGTTTTCTCGTAGCTGCTTGCAGTGTGTGATGGCAGATATTGTGAATGTCAAAATTGATACTTCCTTCGTCCCATAATATAAGACGTTTTTGCAAGCTAACATAGCTTGCAAAAACGTTCTATATTGTGAGATGGAGGGAGTAGTAGTTTATTCAATCATTTCATATTTCACATGAAGTGTCTGTTAGATTTCTGCTGATGCTCTTTCTATCTGTTTTTTTTCTCAAGTGCATTAGCATACATTATATATAGTCAAACTCATACAAAGGACTGTTGTACAACAAATAGGACATGTATATATATATATAATGTACACCCTTATGAATTTGCAACTAGCGGACCACAAAACGTGTGGCCCATGTGGTATTAAAAAAAGCTACCTGCATTTTTAAGATACCCTTGAATCGCTCCATTTACTGATTTAGTGGATAAACATTTGATCACACGGCTAAACCTATTATTTGTGTTAATACCACACCCCGAGCTCCAGTTTAATATACTAGGGAACTACCTTTCCATTGTTAATATTGTCCTTGCCGAGAAGATTCATGCTAAAACAATTTCCTTCTGATGATAGCAATTCTATTCTTTTTCAGGGTCTAAATATTTTTAGGTTTGCAAACCGCATACCACTTCTTTTTGAACAAGGTGCTGATGTCATCACAAGAACTGCCCTAAAAAGGATCAAGTAAGTTTTCCTGTTAGTACTTCTGTTGTACTTCAGATGTTTGTCTCTTCCATTACTCTCATCTTCCTCTTCCTTTTAGTTGGAGCATCTACAAAATTAATCAGCAGCAGGACAAGATTGGTGTCTTCGTGAGCATTGTCAGTACAAAGATACCTTTTAAAGGAACTGGAAAAGAGTATATTGGGGATGATATAACCGAGATAGCAGATGCTGTTAAGGTATATTCAAACTTTCCTTATTTACTGTCATTGTATGGTCATCTACTCATCTGATATCAATCTGCTTGCGCTTTCAGTCAGCCCTTAAGCAGTGCTGTGTCCAACTGAAGTCAAAGATAGTGAAGAAACTTCAGGCTCGTGAACAGCAGGACAGGAAAAGGAACCTGAACAAGTAACTCCTCTGCCAAAAAGTTTTTATTGAATGTTCTTTGGGGATTTGGTGATGTCTAGTTTGAGCGTAGATGTCAGGCTGTTTGTATTTTTCCTATGGCTATGTTTTGAATCAGGGCATTTGCTCAATCATGCATTTGATAGTGCTTGTTGAATGTTGATGTTGGTTAATAACGATGCATTGCGAGATTTAGGCTCACTTTGGAAACTTAGGGCAGTCTCCTTAATTTTAAGCAACATTTGTGTGAAAGAACAGGTTTGGGCTGATATTCAAAGATTGATTTATAAACATGCTTTGTGACGCTGATACCAGATAATCCAGAATTAGACAGGGTCTTATCTTACTCCAGTGATTTCTTATTCACAGATACATTCCTGATGTGGCGAGAACAATTATGGAGACTCTGGGAGAACTTGCAGACGAGTCTCCCCCCAAGAGGCCACGGTTTGACAAGGAAGACGAGGAACTCCTTGAAAAAATAAATTCGGAGGAAGTGACAGAAATGACTTTTAGAGATTGCTTGACGCAGCATGTTGAACAGGTAAGGGCAAACCTAACACTCTAGCATAAACATAAACCAAAGCATGAAAGCAATATGCATTATATATTTTTTTCGTCCCGTGCTCTATACAGCCCATAGTTTTGCATCTTTCTGTGACTACACTACTGCCACATAAAAGTCATATCTGGTTTACACAAATCTATTACCTCCTTCCCAAATTACTTGTCTTAGATTTGTCTATATATGGATGTATCTAACACTAAAATGTCTAGATATATCCGTATCTAGACAAATCTAAGACAAGTAATTCGGGACGGAGGGAGTATATCTTTATGAAATTACATTATAACATCTTAATGCCTTTCTTGGTGCAAAGGTACATCCAGTCCTGAATCCCGGCATAGACTAAAAAATGTTGTACTACCTTCCACCGGTTTCGATTTGTTATCGTAAGATTGATCTTGTTTGCCCCAACATCAAACCACCAGGTTGACTATGAAATGGCGCTGGAGTATGCCATGCAGAGTGGCGTGAGCGAAGAGCCCCGCGAAGCAATCTATCTGAACTCGCTCGAAGGATCTTACAAGTTCGTCGACTTCCAGAGCCCCGCTTTCGTGTTTAGGTTCATCCCGTGAGGGCGCAATCGACACGCCCCCTTCCGTTCTCAGGTTGGTCAACAATAATGTGTTCCCATGGAACGGCGCCGTACACAATTGTGTTTAAATTTTCCCCATTGTTACCGGGATGATTTGTTAGGCTGTTCGAGCTCGCAGCTGAGTGTAGACAGCATAAACATCGCAAGTGGTTTTATGAAAGCCGCTGTAATTGAGGGTGTAACTTTTTTTTTGTGTGTGTGAAAACATTCTGGATTGTAATTGTATGTTGCATTTGTCGAGGAACAAGCATGTAAAAGTACATTGGAAAGATTCTGAAGTGATTTGATGGGCACCTGCTGAATTCATTCTAATGATTACTATATTCTCGCGATCCCAAATTGCTGGGGGACCGTTGATCTCATCTAAAGTTACCCAGGAGGTCTCAGGAAACCATTAGCCCCTTACTAGCCCAGTTGGCATGTTAGGGCATCTCCCACGCTGTCCATCAAAACGGACACCTCGCTGGTCCTGTGATGCGTCACTCGTTGACGCTACTGGCGCTGCGATGCAGCACTCTAGACGCTGCAAGCTGGCGTCGCTGTGGCGAGTGATGCTGCATGGATGGCGACGATGTTGTGTGGACTGCTGCAACTGGAAACCGGGGATTGGCAGGTGTTGCGAGCGACCGACTCTTCCGATGGGTGCGCGGCTCTTGCTGTGAAACGGCTGCTGCGAGTCGGGCGGCGATGCTTTCTGGCGGCAACGCGTGCTGTTGCGTTGCTATGGCCAGAGGAAAACGGAGCAGGGGTTGTTGGTGCGATTGAAGGAGGACTACGTGGCATTGTGATGACAGATCGAACGGCTACACAGGAAGGATCCGACTGCTCGGGAGCCTGCAGAAATCAGCTAGTTTAGCAGCCATCATAATTAATCGAGCAATTTCTCTTGAGCATGTTTGGTTGGGGATAATTAGAGCTAGCGACTGAGAATTGAAGGAATACGAGACTTGAAATCTAGTATTGTTTAGTTAGGAAGATTAAGAATTCATAAGAGGATAGTCATGAGACTCGAGACTTCAATTCCCATTGTTTTATTGACAGAGGAGGGGCAGGAGTTGAAAGAGAATTGTTGTAATTAGTCAATTTTAACCATTCATCATAACTTATGTTAATCTTTCATCCACCCCGCATACACCTTATTTCTAGTTAGTTTGACTAAATCATGGCAACATAATTAGTCTTTTTAAAAGCATACTAAAAAATAAATATGAGGGAAATCACACGCAAGATGATATATATCATCAAAAACTGCCGCCGATTGACCGAAAGAGCGGCATTCATTCTTTATTGTCTTTATCACCTTGACGTTGTCAGAATTCACCTCTATGCGGTTACACCCGACTGTAGTTGCCATTGAAACCAAGCCGTAAGGCCAGTGCCTCGGCCATAAATTGTAGTTGAAATGAAATTATTTTCATGAGTTAATTTTAACCCTTCATGATAACTTACATTAACTTTCCTCACTCAGTCCATCGTCAATTCCCATAAACGAAACAGGGGAATAGAATCTTCCACCCCCCCTCACTAGCAGATAGATAAGGTTTTAGTCCTCGCAGGGACGACGTTTGAACAGATGGTGGTGCTCCTTCTTCGAGTCAGTCTTGCAGGCTTCGATCCTCCTCAAGTTCGTTCAGACGGATTAGATGGAGCTCCAGCGTAGATTCCTGCCAGCTCCTTGGGACGTCGAGATTAGGTTTCTCGCCGTGCGTACACAATGACAATATTTCGCGTTAGGTTCTTCAGATCGATTTAAGGATTCAACGACGACGACTGCAACTCCAGGGTGTTGATCTTTAAGGGCACGTGCACGAAGACTTTTCGGCTGCCATCGACAAGGTCAGGCCGACTCCAGTATGGGAGTGGCGACAACGGCATGTCGACGACTCATTCTGGCGGCAGTAATGGTCGTTCGATGGTTCATGGACCTCGGTATAATTTTTATTATGTTTGAGATGCTTTGTACTTTCGGTGAATCTTTATAATAGATCTGATTCTTTTGACCAAAGAAAAAAAAACAAGAAATACAATTTCTTTTCAAATTCTTACACATACTTTCTATCATGTGCCAAACAGATAATTAAGAACAAAATGAACCATCTCATGTCTAATTTCGATACAACTTCCTGCTCTAAACTCCTGTTCCCTTTTCCAAATATTGCCGAACACGCTATGATAAAAAAAACGCGAGGAGGCCTCATCGTCAGATCTGATTCAGCAGCTGCCTTCCCTTCACTTCAGTCGTGAAGCAAACCATACTCCAAAGAATGGCGGGGGACAGCGAGCTTCTTCCCCGGATCGCGGTGGTCGGCGCGGGCATCTTCGCGCGCACGCAGTACATCCCCAGGCTCCGCGAGATCTCCCACCTCGTCGTCCTCAAGGCCATCTGGAGCCGCACCCAGGTCAGGTGTCTCCCCCTCCCCTGCCCCCTCTTACTCCTTTCCCGTGCCGTGACTCTAAAGCTTAGCCGCTTCTGCTCGTCGTGTGTAATCTGACTGTCGCGGCGCCATCCTCCAGGAATCCGCAGAGGCTGCTGCGGAGCTCGCCCGCGATTTTGCGCCTGGCATCGAGTGTAAATGGGGCGACGCGGGGCTGGAGGAGATCATGGGAGACCCTTCCATCCTGGGTGTCGCCGTCGTTCTTGCAGGCCAAGTCCAGGTATGTACTATAGTATGGTTCATGGAGAATTCCTTTTGTTTCAGAATGATTGATGCTCTGAGAATTTACTTCAGTGTCCACTTGTGTAAAGAGCAATTGGTACAATGCTGGACTGCTAAAGTAGCCCAAAACCCAGCCAAGTGTTCCACTCACTGTTGTACAAATGTGCAGGTTGAGCTTTCCTTGAAGATGCTCAAGGCAGGAAAGCATGTGATCCAAGGTAAGTGGGAAAACATATGAAAGTATGAAACTAATCTTAACTGTCTGATTTGAGCTATATGACCGGCAGCGACAGTAAATAATTCTTTCTCTTGGTTATTACTATCTCATTACCTTGTTAAATATCCTAATTGGTTTCTCGCGGTTTGCATGGTGTATTTCCTGATGCTCTGAAGAGAAACCGGCCTCTGGATGTAAGTACATGTAGCTTTTCAGCGCTTCTTTCATGAGCATCATAATGGATACAACGTATGTGATCAGCTTTGTCCAAAAACTTCAGCGACAACCGAAGCAGAAACTGCGCTATCAGTCTACAACTCATTCCCAAACAAGTTCCCCTATAAGCCAATTTGGGCTCTTGGAGAGAACTACAGATTTGAACCTGCATTTGTGGAGGTAAACATTTGCAACCGTAATTTTTTATTGTTAGTTTACTTCTGTAATCTCTGGACTTCTATCAACAGTCAAGCAAGTTGATGAACGATATTGGTGATATGATGAACATCCAAGTTATTGTTGAAGGATCAATGAACAGTTCAAACCCATATTTCAATAGCTCCTGGAGACGAAATTTTGTGGTAAGGAATCAAGTCGCACAGCATCTTTTTTCTTTCAGTGCAACGTGCTTTATCTGCATTTCTCCTTACCATACATATAACCCCACTGTCCAAGCTAAACATTTCAGCTTACCTAACACATATGAGTAATGTATACTTGATTGGTTTGTGCTTAGCTGCACATTCACTAAACATAAGGCACTTATATGTTGTGTCAAAGGAGGATTTCGTATGCACATCTTGCCAACCAATACTTCTATACCATAGCAAAGTCAATGTAATGTTTGAATAAATTGCATGTTTTTTCTTTTGACCAATGTCATTTCAACTAAACAACAACAACAACAACAACAAAGCCTTTAGTCCCAAACAAGTTGGGGTAGGCTAGAGGTGAAACCCATAAGATCTCGCAACCAACTCATGGCTCTGGCACATGGATAGCAAGCTTCCACGCACCCCTGTCCATAGCTAGCTCTTTGTCGATACTCCAATCCTTCAGGTCTCTCTTAACGGACTCCTCCCATGTCAAAATCGGTCGACCCCGCCCTCTCTTGACATTCTCCGCACGCTTTAGCCGTCCGCTATGCACTGGAGCTTCTGGAGGCCTGCGCTGAATATGCCCAAACCATCTCAAACGATGTTGGACAAGCTTCTCCTCAATTGGTGCTACCCCAACTCTATCTCGTATATCATCATTCCGGACTCGATCCTTCCTCGTGTGGCCACACATCCATCTCAACATACGCATCTCCGCCACACCTAACTGTTGAACATGTCGCCTTTTAGTCGGCCAACACTCCGCGCCATACAACATTGCGGGTCGAACCGCCGTCCTATAGAACTTGCCTTTTAGCTTTTGTGGCACTCTCTTGTCACAGAGAATGCCAGAAGCTTGGCGCCACTTCTTCCATCCGGCTTTGATTCGATGGTTCACATCTTCATCAATACCCCCATCCTCCTGCAACATTGACCCCAAATACCGAAAGGTGTCCTTCCGAGGTACCACCTGGCCATCAAGGCTAACCTCCTCCTCCTCACAGCTAGTAGTACTGAAACCGCACATCATGTACTCGGTTTTAGTTCTACTAAGCCTAAACCCTTTCGATTCCAAGGTTTGTCTCCATAACTCTAACTTCCTATTTACCCCCGTCCGACTATCGTCAACTAGCACCACATCATCCGCAAAGAGCATACATCATGGGATATCTCCTTGTATACCCCTTGTGACCTCATCCATCACCAATGCAAAAAGATAAGGGCTCAAAGCTGACCCCTGATGCAGTCCTATCTTAATCGGGAAGTCATCGGTGTCGACATCACTTGTTCGAACACTTGTCACAACATTATTGTACATGTCCTTGATGAGGGTAATGTACTTTGCTGGGACTTTGTGTTTCTCCAAGGCCCACTACATGACATTCCGCGGTATCTTATCATAGGCCTTCTCCAAGTCAATGAACACCATATGCAAGTCCTTCTTATGCTCCCTATATCTCTCCATAAGTTGTCGTACCAAGAAAATGGCTTCCATGGTCGACCTCCCAGGCATGAAACCAAACTGATTTTTGGTCACGCTTGTCATTCTTCTTAAGCGGTGCTCAATGACTCTCTCCCATAGCTTCATTGTATGGCTCATCAGCTTAATTCCACGGTAATTAGTACAACTCTGAACATCCCCCTTGTTCTTGAAGATTGGTACTAATATACTCCGTCTCCATTCTTCTGGCATCTTGTTTGCCCGAAAAATGAGGTTGAAAAGCTTGGTTAGCCATACTATCGCTATGTCCCCGAGACCTTTCCACACCTCAATGGGGATACAATCAGGGCCCATCGCCTTGCCTCCTTTCATCCTTTTTAAAGCCTCCTTCACCTCAGACTCCTGGATGCGCCGCACAAAACGCATGCTGGTCTCATCAAAGGAGTCATTCAGTTCAATGGTAGAACTCTCATTCTCCCCATTGAACAGCTTGTCGAAGTACTCCTGCCATCTATGCTTAATCTCTTCGTCCTTCACCAAGAGTTGGCCTGCTCCGTCCTTGATGCATTTGACTTGGCCAATATCCCTCGTCTTCCTCTCCCGGATCTTAGCCATCTTATAGATGTCCCTTTCACCTTCCTTCGTGCCTAACCGTTGGTAGAGGTCCTCATATGCCCGACCCCTTGCTTCACCAACAGCTCGCTTTGCGGCCTTCTTCGCCATCTTGTACTTCTCTATGTTGTCTGCACTCCTATCCAGGTATAGGCGTCTGAAGCAATCTTTCTTCTCTTTAAGTGCCTTCTGGACATCATCATTCCACCACCAGGTATCCTTATCTTCGCTTCTCCTTCCCCTGGACACTCCAAACTCCTCCGAGGCCACCTTACGAATGCAAGTCGCCATCTTCATCCACACATTGTCCGCATCCCCTCCTTCCTCCCAAGGGCCCTCCTTAAATACCCTCTCCTTGAACACCTGAGCTACCTCCCCCTTGAGCTTCCACCACTTCGTTCTAGCGACCTTGGCACGCTTATCCCGCTGGACACGAATCCGAAAGCGGAAGTCAGCAACCACCAGCTTATGCTGGGGTACAACACTCTCCCCAGGTATCACCTTACAGTCTAGGCACGCACGCCTATCTTCTCTTCTCGAGAGGATGAAATCAATCTGGCTAGAGTTTTGGCCACTACTAAAAGTCACCAGATGTGATTCTCTCTTTCTAAAGAGGGTGTTAGCTACAATCATGTTGTAGGCTAGAGCAAAGCTTAAGACATCTTCTCCTTCTTGATTCCTGATGCCATAGCCAAAGCCCCCATGTGCCCCTTCAAAACCTGTGTTAGATGTACCCACGTGGCCATTGAGGTCTCCTCCTATGAAGAGCTTCTCACCAATCGGTACACTCCTAACCATGTCTTCCAAGCCTTCCCAGAACTCCCTCTTGGTGTTCTCATTGTGGCCTACTTGCGGGGCATATGCGCTGATAACATTGAGAACCAAGTCCTCAGCTACCAGCTTGACCAGGATAATCCGGTCCCCACGTCTCCTGACGTCTACCACTCCATACTTGAGGCTCTTGTTGATCAAGATGCCTACGCCATTTCTGTTTGCAGCCGTCCCCGTGTACCACAGCTTGAAGCCGGTATCCTCCACCTCCTTCGCCTTCTGTCCTCTCCATTTGGTTTCTTGGACGCAAAGGATATCAACACATCTCCTCACTGCTGCATCAACTAGCTCCCGAAGCTTCCCTGTCAGAGACCCTACGTTCCAGCTACCTAAGCGAATCCTCCTAGGCTCGGCTAGCTTCCTTACCCTTCGCACTCGTCGAGTCAAATGCGAAGACCCTTGCTCATTTTCCACTACATCCGGGCGCCGATGTAGCGCGCCACTAAGGATGCGACGACCCGATCCTCGCTCACTTGCCACCGTATCCGGATCAAGATACGGCGCGCCACTTGGGGGGTGACGGCCCGGCCCTTGCCCATTTTCCACCACACCCGGGTTCCGATGTGGCGCGTCGCTGAGAGGGTTACGCCCCAACAAAAATCTTTTGGGTTTCATCTCCATAAGAGTGGCTGAGTTTTTACGTTGGCTCGCCAAGCCTATCACAACCCTCCTCCTTTACCCGGGCTTGGGACCGGCTATGTTGAGACAACATAGGCGGAGTTACCAATGTCATTTCAACTACCTAATCAAAATGTCATATAACTCTGTTTGCTTATCTACGCAAGTTTGTCTAATTTTTGTGTGTACATACTCAAAATCCATGGAGGTGCTGGTGGTACATATTTGGCCTCACTAATTCTCTAGTTACGTCAATTTTTTGGGTTCTAATCTAGTGGGATATTTCTGTTGGCATTGAAGTGGAATTCGCATGTCTGCAAGTCTGCAATAGTTAGGTCATTCAGCTTCTTCGGCTGTGAAGTATTCAAATGCTTGCAGCCATTCTTTTCATCAACTACATTTCTGTGGTTTTTCTCTCCCGAGTTCTGCAAAGAAAGAATCACCACATACTATTTACTTTGTTTGACATGACAAGTATTTCATCCTAATGAGTCGATATGTCTATCCTTGGTCCTTACTATGATAACAATAATTTGCAGGGTGGTTTCATACTGGATATGGGCGTGCATTTCATTGCAGGACTAAGAATGGTATTTCCCATCTTGTTTTTTTGCAAAAGTGTTGACCAGCTTCTGGCTTTTGTATCATGTGAGGAGTCATTGTAATCCATTTGAAGGATTTGATACTCTTAAGCAGACATAAGAAATATTATCCGGTAGATGGATTTGATGCTCACTACACGGACATGGTCGTTAAAATACACTTCACAAGTACACAACTGCTACTATGAACATATTGAAGTAGTTAAGTTTGATTTTCCAGTTGCCCAGTTATGCACAGCATAATGCAAGTGAATGAGAAGGCTTATGCGTGCCAATTAATGTGCTATTTAAGATTATTACGAAGGTTATTATTTTTTTACTTCTCCTTACTCTGTTAACATATGAGCTCATTTGTAACAGCTTGTTGGTTCGGAAGTAGCAACTGTATCGTCTATCTCTCGTCATGTGGACACGGATTTACCACCACCTGATAACATTTGTTCTCTTTTGTAAGTTATGAAAGATACAAAGTGAATTTTGTAAATGTTACATTTTTAGATCTTACAGACCCTTGATGTGCTAGTGCAGCCAACTGGAAAATGGATGTGCTGGGGTCTTAGTATTTGCAGTTAATTCGAGGTCGCCAAAGGTTAAGATTTATTTTGTTGCAAAAGATGTGTGGCACATATTATTCTTTAGGCATATTAGGTTATGTATCATTCACCACATTCTTTCTTTACTTCCATTTTTTTGCTGATATTGCTAGACATATGATATTTAGATATTGTGGCGGGTTGATGGAACAAAGGGAACAGTAAAAATTGAACGTGGAGATGATGGTGGGAAACATGGTTACCAGGTAAAAGCCACTTTCTCTGCAAGTGCCAAATGAACTTTCAGCCTGCTTCTCACTGTTTATCCGACCTGCCAGTCACACACTATCCACCCCATTGGCTTCCCCCACTTGTTATTTGTTCCGCGAGTTTGGTATTGTTTTATTCATTACATCATGATCACACTGCATTGCTACAAATAATAGTGTTACTCAGACAAAGGTGCGGAGTCTATCTCTGATTCGGAAAAAGGACTTTGGATTTGAAAATGCTACTTGGATATGCACACTTGTGTTGGAAACTGTCTTGGATTCGGGCGTCCGATTCTTTTTATGTCGGACATGGGTCTCCGCATAACACTGAAGTCATGTTCAGGCAGGATGTTACTGAAGCAGTGTATCTTTTTCTTGAGAATACGCAAAAGATTTATGCATCATTACATTTAAGGAAGATAATATAGTTTGACTGTTACAACACTAAGTTGTGGACTTGGCTAGCCAAAAAACCAAGAACCCTATCTCGGTCATTTACCAGGACAGTAGCTTCAGCAATACATGGACGCAACCTTGGATCATAGAGATTTAGCCGATTAGCGCGCCCAAATGGTCCTCTTCTGCTTTTCCCCAGACCTCGCGTCCTCCTGCACTGCAGCGACATCTGGTATCTTGTTCGGAAGGATGCAGACTTTCCTTGTCTTCCAACTGCCCACATGATTGAAACAGTGTAAATCGACATTATACTTATGAACTATGTCATGCATTCACAGGTGCTTTTCTCAAGTGAAAGTGGGGAGTGCCAGAAGACTTTTTACCCATTCTGTGGTGTGCATGAAGAACTGAAAGCATTTGTCCATGACATGGTGCAGGCTAGCAAAGTATGTTGTTAGTATTGGTCAATCTCTGTTTTTCTTTTCTCGCATAGATCGTGGGTTCTCATGATGTCAGAATTTGCCATAAACCAAAGATCATTTGCCTATATTCCACAGAATGCTTAAAAGCATCCCAGGATTTCATCATACTCTCTCTAAGTTGCCCCACTCATGCAGGATGGGGATCACAAGGCTGAACCCCGCAGTTCTTATGTCGAAGGTGCTCGTGATGTTGCTGTTTTGGAAGCCATGCTTGAATCTAGCGCGAAGCAAGGAGCCATGGTGCAAGTGAAGAAATTCTAACAAATCTCAATTAGCAAATGAGGGAACATGAACATTCTTCTGCTAGAATGATCGGTCCGGTAGGACGTGAAAATTTGTAGCATCGGCGACAAAAGGAACACCATTTTATGATTATTATGCAATTGATGCTATAGGATAGGATGCTGCAAGTCGGGCTGTTCCCTGGAACCATCATTCTTTCACACAGATCTATACGACAGCTGCTACAGATTTATTTACCATATACTGTACTATCTATCACGTATACTCTTGCTACTGATCTTGTATGCTATTTCTTGCATTTTATGTTGAGGAAAAAATGTACTCTTGCTTGTTGTTTTCCATTCCAGCTGCATATACAGGTGGCTGAGACCCTCAACTTGGGAAAGTGGGTCAATATGACAGTTTGGAGAGTTGTTTTCCTGATGTGGCATGCAATGTGGGTGGCACATAATTATTGGATTTCTTGTATAATTTCACACTGAGCTTAGAAAAACACTGAACAAGATTCTGAAAATTGATTTTTTTGATGAAAAACTTAAGATATTTAGAACTGATATAACATTTACTTTCAGGAGTAGGATATTAGGGTGCATGTTGTTGGGATTTTGGAAATCCAGACCAGAAAAAAGCCAGACTCTATTTTTCTTCTGAAGTTAGATTTTTTTTTTGCGGGTAAAAGTTTGATTTTTCTTCTTCCAGCTTTTCTAATTTCCACAAAATCTAATATTGTTTTGAGTATTTAAAAATTTATATTGTTTTAAATATATTTTACTGCGCTATTGTTTTGATTATTATTATTATTGGTTTACATATAATCATCTAGCGAATGCCACGTTGCCAAAACCGTACGCGTGTCGCTGTGTCATGCCAACAAAACCACTCTCAAAACGTTGTTATAGCATTTGCATTCTTTCTCACTAGAGGTGAGACAAATGTTGTTATAGCATTTGCATTCTTTGTAGCTAGAGGTGAGAAAAATCGACTAGCATCAATGCTACATACGTGATATGGCAGTAGACAGTTTGGTGCTCAATGCTAAACTAGTTAAAATGACATTTTGAATTCATGTCAGTAATTAAACAACATAAGGTATTTGGCGACATTGTAGAGGATGGGCTCTTGAGATGCGTACATATGAGGATGAGTGCGAAGTTGTAGAGGATGGGCTCTTGAGATGCGTACATATGGTATTTAAGAAAAAGGCTCCAAGGAGCCCGTCCTCCATATCCTCTTTTCCGGAGAGACGACATATTAACCAACAAATCCTATATGCCGCTCGCTGCTTCGCACAGGCGACCAAGCAAGCAAACTTGAGATGGGGCGGACCATTAGGTAGCTACAGTACAACAGAAATTTTGGTTCTGAGAACTTTCTGGAAGGTTCCTATCTGGTTCTAGCAACTTCCAAAAAAAGGTATCAACCCGGTTTCCTTTTTATGTTTTTCTAGATTTTTATTTTTTTCAAAATGTTTGAAAATTTCAAAAAAGTTGGGAAATTTCATTTTTTTTCAGAAATTAGGGAATGTTCAGAAAATTTAAAAATGATCTGAAATATCATTTGTTCAGAACTTAGAAAATGTTCAGAAATTAAAATTTTGTTTGTAAATTTTAGAAATTATTCTCTTTTTTCAAAAAATGTTTGCACTTTAATTACAAATCAACCGAAGAAAAACTAAAAAAAACTATCAATCGCCACAATGGAGTTGTTAACTTTTTTTAGGGGTATCACCAAGTTTTATTACTCAAAATCCAGTGATGTGGGATACAAAAGGGATCATGAGGTTGAACCAACCAGAAGTGCACCCCTAATTGAGAGGATGCAAGAACTTGGCGAAGCTATCGGCGTCGCTATTAGCAGCTCGACCTTCAAAGGAAAAAGTACAATTAGACATTTGAGACCTCCTACTAATCTCACTAATGATGTTACCATATACTCTGTGGCTTGCTTTCTCTATATCCTTGAAGCATAAGATCCTCTGTGAGAGATAAAGCCTCTCGACAGAGCTGTTAACAACCGTAGCGTTTGCTATAGTAAGCGACTTTGATACAGTCTCGTGCTGATGGGCCAGCCCACTTGGTGACACCCCTATGCGAAAGGCTAGCATCTTGACACACGGAGCGTCATATATGGAGTCCCATATGGACAGAAAAGGTTTCTATCACATTTTTTAACAAGAGAATATCTTTTGAAAATTTGAACTCTTTTGAGAAACAAAATTAATTTTAAATTACAAACATCATTTGAAAAGAGAATCATTTTTTGAAAAATTATGCCAAAATTTTGAAATTTCAAACATAAAAAACAATTTTAAAATATGAACAATTTAAGAAGAGCATGCAATTTTTTGAATTCCGAACATTTGTTGAAAAAATCAAAAAAATTTAAAATTCTGAATAAAATTTGAAAATTCATTTTCTTTTTGAAATTTGCGATTTTTTTATAAAATCATGATTTGTTTTTGGAATTCGTGAGTTAAAAAAAGAAATATAAAAAATAAAAATGATTTTTAAAAAGGAATCCAAAACCCAGTAAAAAACAACAGAAAAAGTAAACATGTCCAGGAACCTTCTAAAAGGTTCCCAAAACTGGCCAGGAACCTTCAAGAAGGTTCCCAGAACTCGGTGGCTTGCATGTGTAATACAAGAATCCTAATAAAAGAGTCAAATTGAAGCCAAACCACGTGAAAAGGTGTAATTAAGCATGTTATTATGCCAATAAGGACTTGAATATCATTTTTCGTGCGTAGGAATTTGTAAAAGAGGTCCAAGTGAATTGTAAAATTCTTGGGTTTTTTCTATGTTTTTCTTTGCTACATTCCTTTAAACCAAAGGCATGAATAGTGACACATAGGAAAATATCCTATTCCATGTGTTTCCTTCACTTTTTCTTCGAACCAAGCGAGGCCTAGAGCCATGTAGGTCAGAAAGAGTTCATCTTAGAAGAAGATAAACCTACGCACTATAGGAAAGCGATGGTGGCACCCAGCTCATAAAGGATGACTTAAAGATATATAATCCAAAAGAATTTCATCGAGTTTAGAACTTGATTGATACTCGGGAAAAACAGACACTAATGGTAATCATACTGTCTATAAAGCAAAGATAGTTGCAAGAGAATTTTGCAGATTGTGTGAGTCGATTATGAATCTATCTCACCAGAAGCAATAATAAAGTCTAAATGGATTATGATAAAACAAGTATCAAAGGAGCTGGAATCAACATTTTTATGAAATAGTTTAACTTCATTAGAATGATGAGATTTGCATATTCAAGAAGTTTAGTGGAAGCAATGTGACATTTCTAAAATTAGTATGTGGATGACATATTATTGGAAATAACATACATTTTCTTAGCACAATAAAAGGTTTCATCGAAAAGAGTATTTTAATGAAAGACTCAGGTAAAATAGCTTATTGGACATCAAATTCTATGGAGATATAGATCAATATATCCAATTGTGCCAAAACCGAAGTATGTGCATTTGACAAGGTTTCAAAAAAGTTTGAAATGGAGAATGATAAAGGATTTTCTCCCGATTGTCACATGGTGTAACACTTAACGGAATCAATGTTCCTAGACAATTGATGAGCATGTGTAGACGATTGGAGTTCAAAATACCTCAACAATTGAACCCATCATAAGATCCATTATAAGTACAAAGATGAATGTTCCTTATGTACTAAGTGGTAGTAACAGTGATCCTGAGATGGCTCACTGGGCAGCTAATAAAAAATTACCAAGTACCTCAGAATGATAAAAAAGGACGTGAATTTTTGTGCTATTGGAGGTTGTTGCGTGAGGCTTTCTTACTTAGAGTTTTATTTAACTGTTGTTTTGGGTGATTCCTAACTCAGAGGGTCAAAGCTGGTGTGTGTTGGTCAGGTGTGTTTACTTCATGTCGTGGTTTTATCACGACAAATGTCCTCATGAAAGGACTTAGTCGTGAGGCCATCGCCGCTAAGTAATAACTTGAATGGGGTTGATAGGAATCGAGAGACAAGGGTTTTACCCAGGTACGACCCCTCGCGGTGGAGGTAAAAGCCCACATCCTGCTTGATTGTTATTGATGATGATGATGATCTCGATTACAAGGGTGCTATTTTGCTAGCTCTCATCTCGAGAGCATCTACTTTGATCTTGTCTAAGACTTGTCTGTTTATCCCGACCTCTCCCTCTTGGGGTGCCCTGCCCCTCCTTATATAAGTTGAAGGGGGCGGCTTACATGTAGAGTCCTAGTAGGACTACAACTAGTGTGTGTAACATTGAGCAACGAGACGAGCTTTGTTTCTGACAACTTGACCATGCTCATCTTCTTGTTGCGATAGATCCATTTGGTGCCAATAATATTGTGCTTGTGTGGATCAGGTCGTTTGACTAGCTCCCAGACATAATTGAGCTCAAATTGTTGAAGCTCTTCTTGCATAGCTTGAATCCATTCTGGTTCCATAAAGGCTTCGGATATGGAGATGAGTGCAAAGTGCCCATAAAAGTTTGCTAGTTGCGTAGCTTTTGATCGAGTAAGAGGACCAGGTACATTGATGCTATCAAGAATCTTCTCAATCTGAACTTCATTTGTGACCCGAGGATGAACAGGGCGAAGATTTTGTTGTTGCTGATCATTGTCTTAATCTTCAGCATTGTCTTCAGGCTCAACATTGTCTTCGTGTTGCGTAGGAGCTGGAATGACAATTTCCTCTTCTGCCTGTTCCTCGGTGGGTATGATTTCTCCAGTACCCATTAGCTTGCTAGATTCACTAGGAGAAGCTTCATCTAGCACATTTGGTAGGTGCTCTCTTTGCGAGCCATTAGTCCCATCGAACCGCACATCTACAATTTCAACCACTTTATAGTGAAAGAGGTTGAAGACCCTATAGGTGTGCGAATCCTTTTCGTAACCAAGCATAAAACCTTCATGTGCTTTCGGTGCAAATTTGGAAGTGTGGTGTGGATCCTTGATCCAGCAGCTAGCACCGAAGACTTTGAAATAGCTTATGTTTGGCTTCTTACCGGTGAGTAGTT